AACAAGCAATCACCAATCAATTATCGTTGAGATTAAAACTTGCTGGCGTAGGTCCTTGTTGATTACTTTGATAATTTTATAATCTCTTGTAAGACAGTTGTGACAAATACACAAGAATACCCACGAATTTTCCCACGAATTATTCACAGTCGTAAAAACCTGTTGGAAACATTCGTTGCGCATGCCGATTGGACCTGAATTCCGATATGTTTGTTCACCCTACGCATGTATCCGAACCGTGTGACGACGACTTGGACATAGAACGACAGATTGTCAATGAACATACAGATGTAATGTAATCAAATTTTGAATGTACAGAAAGGTTTATCATTTTAAAATGGAATAATGGTGTGGGGATTCGAAACACCAATATAATAATACCTCCGGTTTTCGAAGTTACAAAAATACTTCTGGATTATCTGCGTAATCCGACATATTGTAACGATCCCGTAGGATGTCGGATTTGGCAGAGTCCACTGTACACATTTTAGCTATTGATCCTACTCTCGAGTATTCACTATATGAAAATACACCAATACAACTGAATTTGAATGAATATGATAATGTTTTGAATATTAAATGAGGGCTAAGGAACAGATACCCATTCAAATGATTTTTTAAAAATTTTACCTTGAAATTTCATTGTGCATACATATCATTTTAAAATACTCATAGCACATTTGAAGTTGGCAACATGCTGAGACCATTTATTAAGGTCTGAATTTTATAGAGAATTTCCTTAGAATATTAACTAAATTTTCCTACATAGGCCTATTAATGAAGTTAATAAAAACATAATTTTATACGGTATATCTAATAATGTTACAAACAAAACAGTTTTTCTTACAATCTAAAAGGGAAATTAGAGCTATTAACATACTTTTGGAGGGCTATGAAGAAACCTTGAAGTAATGAATATGGATACCCCCCCCCCCCAAAGAAAAAAAACACACAAAAAAACGTAGGCCTAAAGATAAAACATGACTAGGCCTATAAAGGCCTGTATAATTAGAAAATTGTAGATTCTAGACTAGATGCATAGTTTTTATTATTATAGCAAATATAGAAACAAATTAGGTTTTATAATACATGTTCCAGGACACATTCTCACTGAAAATGATTATTCAATAACTTGTGTGCTATTGTTGTTAGACCTGTGTACGGTAAAATCTTTTTATACGAACAAAACATGTACTGACAAATAATCGTACTGATACAAAATAACTTACACATGTTTAAACATTCATTTCGGATATATCTTGGTAATTGGTCGTTGTGCAGTCGAAGTTTTGTTCTTATTTTATTCCGAAGCTCACAGGACTCCATCATACTCATTTCTTTGGTTTTTTAACCGGAAGTAAGTAGTGGATGGTGGCCTATCGCAATCATTCATTATTTTATCAAAAAAGTTAACACCAACAAACAGGGGTTTTTTGTTGTTTGTTTTTTTTTTTGGGGGGGGGGGGTATTATTATTTATTTATTTATTATTGTTTTTGTTATTTATCTATTTACTAGCAGGATACCCGGCTTCGCTCGGGGGTCATAACTCCGAAACCGGAAGTGATAGACTAACGCCATCTGGCCTATGTTACTCCCCGGTCCGAGCTACCCCTGTACCCCAAATTTCAGACTCGGGGTAGACCTAGTGTAGCCGCCAACCCCGAACAGACAGACAGACAGACAGATAAACAGACAGACAAACGACAGTCACAAATATTAGTATAGATAGATTACTCTTTATCATAAACACACGACTCTGCGCACACTATAATAAACAGAATTGTCCATATGCATCACTTATAATGTACTAAGTTCGTGTATTTGAACAACACATCGTAGATTTTATAAATGGCATTTCTCTGAAGCTGACTATGGGATAATTTCTTATGAATACAACTACTCATGTTTTACTATTCATATGTTTAATACTTATTCATTTCTTTGTACACAACTTCAATAGATATTATCTATGGCGGTATATTAGATTCAAAATTCTAACATGCTATAGTCTAATTTCTAACCTCCGTTCATGTAACTTCTAACCTTAATTCATGTAACTTCTAACCTTAATTCATGTAATTTCTAACTTCAATTCGTGTAATTTCTAAATTAAGACAATGTATAATCCAATTTCTTTATTTGTTCAGTGTGAATTTTAATTCTATTTCATCTTATTTCTTTTATTTAGACGAAAAACGTCTGCTAAAGACCCCTACGCGCAAGCGAATTGTTGAAATAAATTGAACCATATGTTAGACCAGAAATGACCTAGTTTGTGCCGAGTGGTCGTTACCCCCCCCCCCCCCCTCGCTCTCTCTCTCTTTCTCTCTCTCTCATCACTCCGCCCAATCACCAACCAGGCGAAGAGCGAGTCGTTTATATAAACATAATGGTCCCTACCAGGTGCGCAATCACCAAATGAGCATGCAGTGGCGACACCAAACGACTTCATAATGATGGTTGCTAGGCAGAAGTGTAAAAATTTTAAACGTGTAAAGAATCAATGAAGAAGACGTTTTTCGTCTAAATAAAAGAAATAAGATGAAATAGAATTAAAATTCACACTGAACAAATAAAGAAATTGGATTATACATTGTCTTAATTTAGAAATTACACGAATTGAAGTTAGAAATTACATGAATTAAGGTTAGAAGTTACATGAATTAAGGTTAGAAGTTACATGAACGGCGGTTAGAAATTAGACGATAGCATGTTAGAATTTTGAATCTAATATACCGCCATAATTATCAGTAGCATTATATTACTTTTAAACATTTATCATAAATGCATGTGTCTATTATGTAGAAACCTATTAGCACTATACCTAAAAAATAAAATTAATTTTATGGTTAGGGGCGTGTCATGTTTAAAGAACACATATATTTTGCGTACGTAACTAACCTACGAAAATTAAATGGTAGGGTGGGTGGGTCGTTCAGACTGATATTTAGGCACATCAACAAAATTTGTTGACTAAAAATCATCATTTTGCAGGTAGTATGTGATGTAAATCTAGGATTTGTGGTGTTTAATATGTGTGCCACCAAGCATCGCAAATCCTAGATTTGGAACGTTAAACTGACGATAACATATCTACGACAAACCACCAACCTAATTAAGCGCTATGTGAACACTTTCAAAAAATTATTTTAATTAGGTAAGCTGTAGCTTATAGTAAGGGAGCCAGGTTCAGGTTGTTTCGAAAATCGCGTACATAATATCTACATAATCTACACCTTGATTCTCATGTCATCAAAAACACTGCTTAAGAAGACCCGCGACCCTTCCTTCATTCCTTAAGAACACCCCCTTTACGCCCTTATACATACCTCAACGATATAAATATTTGTGTTTGTCTCCCCATGGGATCTGATCATCGTGCAAAATCAACGGTCTCATAATATTGTCATGGCAAAATGTTGATTGAAGTGTTAACATGTCAAGTTTAGAGAAAATATGCTAGATTTGACAATAAAATCGTACATGAAGGATTGCCCAGTTTAAATTGTCAAATTTGACCCTTTTCGTCTTCCATGGTATACGGTAGCCTATACATAAAAAAACTTAATGTATAATTTATGCTATACTAGCAGGATACCCGGCTTCGCTCGGGGGTCATAACCCCGAAACCGGAAGTGGTAGACTAACGCCACCTGGCCTATGTTACTCCCTGGTCCGAGCTACCCCTATACCCCAAATTTCAGACTCGGGGCAGACCTAGTGTAGCCGCCAACCCCGAACAGACAGACAGACAGTCAGACAAACGACAGTCACAAATATATATATATATATATATATATATATATATAATAACTAGCAGGATACCCGGCTTCGCTCGGGGATCATAACTCCGAAACTGAAAGTGGTGGACTAACGCCACCTGGCCTATGTTATTCCCCGGTCCGAGCTACCCCTATACCCCAAATTTCAGACTCGGGGCAGACCTAGTGTAGCCGCCAATCCAGAACAGACCGGCTTCCCTCGGGGGTCATAACTCCGAAACCGGAAGTGGTAGACTAACGCCACCTGGCCTATGTTACTCCCCGGTCCGAGCTACCCCTATACCCCAAATTTCAGACTCGGGGCAGACCTAGTGTAGCCGCCAACCCCGAACAGACAGACTTCGCTCGGGGGTCATAACTCCGAAACCGGAAGTGGTAGACTAACGCCACCTGGCCTATGTTACTCCCCGGTCCGAGCTACCCCTATACCCCAAATTTCAGACTCGGGGCAGACCTAGTGTAGCCGCCAACCCGAACAGACCGGCTTCGCTCGGGGGTCATAACTCCGAAACCGGAAGTGGTAGACTAACGCCACCTGGCATATGTTATTCCCCGGTCCGAGCTACCCCTATACCCCAAATTTCAGACTCGGGGCAGACCTAGTGTAGCCGCCAATCCCGAACAGACAGACAGACAGACAAACGACAGTCACAAATATATATATATATATAATATAGAAGATAGATAGATAGATTTTTCTTTTGTTTTTATTTTGGTGGTTTTTCCTGTTATCCAAAGGAGCATATAACTATACTTCTTATACTGTGAAAACCTTGGATGGTCTGTCAAGAAATATAAAATCGACCTTGGGTGTGAAACAAGGATGTGTCCTTAGCCCGACCGCTTACTCAATATCAATGACCTGTCAAGGGTTGGCTATTGCTTCTTAGTTCCCGCCTACAAATACGTTAGAATTTCTGCTCTGCGAGCTATTGGTAGCTCCTCCCCTTTTTGGTATTTTGTCTACACTTTGTTAATGTTTCATCGTTTTAAAACCATTACAAAAAATAAAAACCGACAAAATAAGTCCCAGAAGATAATCAATATCCGAAGTAACATGACGTCTACTAGAAAATATTGTTATATTCCAATAGTGTGCGTATTTATTTACTTAGTAATTAGTCTCGTGTGGTCTTATAGAGGATACCTTCGACCGAATTTATATTTAAACAATTCTAGATTCTCCAACGGGGATGCAGAATGCCCGGGAGTTCTATCACACATGGTAAAGGGTTACTGGAAACCACTCCCGCGTTTCCCGCAGGAATTGATAGGAATATTAACTGACAGATTTAAAGCAAATGTCGCAAAAAATCATCATATTCCTAAAAATTACCAAATGAAAAATGGTAAATGTGGTAATATTCAATATCCAGACTCTGGGTTTAGGGCATTATGTGATCCTAAAGGACCCACGCCATGTTGTTATGAGGGTCATTGTGTGTCTAAATCTATTGAAGATTGTAAATGTGAGGAATGTTATGATCTAAGGCAACGTCTTTCAGCCGAATCTTCTACCTGGGTGCCATCACATCACGGTTGTCAACTTGATGACTTTGATTCTACCACAGCATGCCGTTTACTCCATAATTCTACCATATTCTGGACTGGAAACTCTTTCATCAGGCAGATGTTTGCGGCTTTAACTATGATATTAAAGGGAGATTTGAGGCATTTGGTTGTTAGAAATAACACAGGTAAGAAAGTTTTTCAAAGAAGTGCCCCATGTCCGTCCAACCTACGAGAAACACAGACCAACGGCATTGATCCGCAGCCCTTCCCATTACACTTACCTACAAATTTAAAAATGTTGTTACCCTTTACATTTGCACCACAATAAACTGGGTTAGATCTAAATATTAAGGCGCTAACCCTAATCCTAGTCCTTATCCTCAACAACAAGCACGAGCCCTAGCCCTGTTGATCTTGACCAAATCTGCAAGTGGCCTTAATATTTAGATCTAACAAAAAAAAAAAAAAGCTGGTTTTCTTCCAACAATCCCTATGACCCCGAACGGATGGTGGACGTCATGTACTCTTGTCACTCTCATCACAATGTCCTTGTATCCGTTCTCACATTACCACAAGCTGATTGTGAGTGTACTTTTCATTTACAAACCTTTTGGTGGACATAATGAACATTTGTTTATTTGAAATACGCCTGAATTTCCATATTTAAAATAGATTGGGTTTAACTCCTATTACCACTAACAAGGTTATCCCGGGACTAATACAATATATTTTTATTTCATTAATTCGAGGCCCAGTAATTTCTTAATCCGCCCATGGCATTAATCGGCATAGCAATAGTAACATCAAAGGTGTATATAAAAGAAGGGGTGGGTTGGGTTGGGGTGGATGGTAAGTGTATATAAATAATCACAGTGTCCAATGACAATCATCACAGTGTAATTTGATTGGATAAGTGTATATAAATAATCACAGTGTCCATTGTACAATCATCACAGTGTAATTTGATTGGATAATGTTTGTCACAGATTCTACCACAAGCACATACATGTAATAATTTACTGTTCCACAAACACTAGTAGAGAGGGGGGTCAAGGTGGCTAAGTGGGTAAGACGCTGGCTCGATAACCTGGAGGTCGGGTGTACGATCCCTGCATAGGCCGAGAAAATTCGTCCAGATATTCCGGCGTGGTTCCCCCTTGTCAGTGATGCAGGACGGAGGGTTTGACAAGGACAGCTGTAGTGTGTTTCGTTGATTGTACGTAGGTTCAAGAGTTTTATTGAGAATCCTTCGAACGTTCGTTCCCGGAACATTACGTCCACGCATAGAACTAAATACACTGGAACGCCAACGAGCGTCTACTTCCGGTAAAATTTGTGGCTGTGTGACGTGCTTCGAAAAAGTGCCCAGTTTACTTCCGGTATATTGTTATTATCACGTAATTTTGTTAGCCTGATAATGTTGAAAGCAAGCGAGTGAATTGGATTAAATATTTATTCATTTGTGCCTCACTCCAAACAAATTTTGTGATCTTCGCTCATCATTTATTATATATATTTTTAAAAAAATGTCATAAATAATGCAACAGGGAGAGTTGTAAAATGACGAAGAACTGAAAGCGACGACGTCGACTGGCTGCCAGCACAGTACAAGTTACAAACTGCGCACTGTCTTTATAAACAGGTATGTTGAAAATTCACTAATGTCATTAGGCCTAGAATTCATACAATCAAGTCATCGTTTTTTTTTTTAAGAAAACATAAATGAATCGATTTACAAAATAATAATGTAATGACTGGTTTAAGTCGCGGACTGAATTACGTACCAAACCCTTTTGTTTACTATAGACTTATAGGCCTGTCAGGAATGTGAATGAATTTCAAAAAGTTGATTTAGTAATATTTCTGTGAGCACAACCATACTTCTAATTTTACAATATTGGGGAACTAATAAAATAAAAGTACAAAAAAATGAATACTGGTATTTTGTTTTTAAATTTAAATTATTTGATCTAATTCAAAGAAAAATGTACAAATGGAATTTTCCTTTTGAATATTATTTCTTTGTGAAAAAATTCACATGATAATCTAGAAGAAAAGGATATCAGATTTGTGTCATTGAAGGAGTGGATTTGTATATAAATTAAGGCCTTGTTTGAGTAAAATTAAAAGAGCTATCAAGTGAATAATGCTGATTGAAGAAAGTTTTTCTTGTGCCAATTCCCATGGCATTACCTGAAATCGGTCGTACTTTCTTGGTATTGAGTCTGATTTGAATATAAACCCATCTGTAAAGTCTGACACCAACTGCCTTTTTAATTTATGCATAAATTATATTAGTATAACTAAAACTGCATTTCTCTTTATTCAACTGTAAAATTTATTTGTAATTTGTAGACACAGAAATCCCTGAAGAAACTCTATTTTATGTTCAAACATATTACTACTAATAATTAATATGTATTTTTTTTTTCAGACCAATAATACAAAAGCCATTGTATTTAATTTTATGAAGAACTTTCATTTGATGTGAACAAGGAATTTCTAACATGGAAGAAGGACAATAAAATATAATTCCTAAATAACCACCCGCACTGACTGAGTGTTGATTCATCCCTAAATCCTAACTTTAAAATAGTTGTTGCACTGAATGAAAAGCAGGCTGTTATGCGAGTGCCTGAAAGACTTTGAAATATATTTCTTGTGAAAAATTGGAATAGACTCAGCTATCAACTGACTGTACATTATACACTTTCAGTTACACATTCTATTTTTTGGAAATAATTTTAATAAATATAATGAATGAAATCATTGGATTATTGTGAATATTTTGAAAATGTACTAGGGATATAGACTGTCTATCTTGTCCACTCAATGAAATTATGAATTCCCCTCAATGTGTTTAAAGTCAATTTCTATTCAATTCATAAGATATGCAGCTCTTGTGTGTACTGGTACAGGTGTATTCAGTAAACTGTAAAATTTACCCACTCCCTCCTCTATGATTACATAAAACCATTTATTGTAACTTTGACACACGGATCACAATTTACAATAGGGTGAATGAAAATATGCATAAATCTGGTAACTTTTCTCTCTGATCAAATGTGTGAAATTGTCATAAATTTATACAAATTTAAGGTTCAATGTGAATGCAACTATGGTATATTTTCTTGGGCAAATTTTCGAGATCCTAAAAACATTAGCTTCACACAGTGTCACTTCACTATAAGCATAGTTCAGAATAGTAATGTCTTTACATTTTGTGGGTCTCTATTATATTGCAAATACACATATTATAAACGTTTAAATCCACAACTTTTCATATTTCAAATTTATTATTTCCTTTTAATAAAAAAAAATTATTTCATTCTGATCCACAGTACTTGGTGCCAATCCAAACTTAGTTTCGATATTTAATGCACTCCTTCATGCTTATATAATACAGTATATGCAATGCTACCTGATGCACCACTGACAAAAAGGGAAAACAGGCAATTTTCTCAACAAACATCTGAATCAAAATCCAAATCTCCTTGATAGTGGGCAAACGATTTCCTCCCTGTAAATGTCAATTTATTTTAATTTTATAAATCTTCATAACATGCTCAGAGAATTCTGTCAGATTTTGACTTTTTTTTGACAACTGATCACTGTTTTAGAAATAGGTAGGCCTATATTATTTTAATTTTGCAAATCTTCACAAAATGCAATGAAATTTTCTACCTGCATATTTTGACCTTTTTTTTGACAGTGTTTTAGAAATAGGTAGGCCTATATAAAAATGAGGCCTAGTAGGCCTATATTATTTTAATTTTGCAAATCTTCAAAAAATGCAGTGAAATTTTCTGCCTGCTTATCATGACTTTTTTTTGACAGCTGATCACCTTTTTTTTAGAAATATGTAGGCCTATATTACAAGGCCTAGTATTATTTTAATTTTACAAATCTTCATAACATGCTAAGAGAATTCTGCCAGCATATTTTGACTTTTTTTTGACAGCTGATCACTGTTTTAGAAATAGGTAGGCCTATATAAAAAATGAGCCCTAGTAGGCCTATATTATTTTAATTTTGCAAATCTTCACAAAATGCAATGAAATTTTCTGCCTGCTTATCATGACTTTTTTTTGACAGTTGATCACTTTTTTTTTAGAAATATGTAGGCCTATATTACAAGGCCTAGTATTTTTTTAATTTTACAAATCTTCCTTAAATGCTCAGAGAATTCTGCCAGCATATTGTGACTTTTTTTTGACAGCTTATGACTGTTTTTAGAAATAGACAGGGCATAATGAGGCCTAGTGGGTCTATATTATTTTAACTTTACAAATCTGCAAAAAATGCAGTGTCATATTCTGCCTGCACATCACAATTATTATTTATTTTTTTGACAGCTGATCACCCTGTTATAGAAATATGTAGGAATATATTACAAGGCCTAGTAGTATTATTTTACATTTACAAATCTTCATAAAAATGCGCAGAGAATTCTGCCTGCATATTGTGACTTTTTTTGACAGCTGATCACTGTTTTAAGAAATAGGTACTAAGTTAGGCCTATATCACAAATTACCTACTTATCAAATCAGAACACCTTCTACGTGTGCATATCCTATTGTTTTTCCTACAGATTTTTGGCAAAATTTCTATAGGACAATCTACTATAGTCCCCTATAGATTTTTTTTTATTGCATTTTCTGTAGGAAAATTCTAGAGTTATGCCGTATTACTCGTATAGGATTAGGAATTAATACTGTAGTATTCTGGAGTTTGGCAATTGGATCACTACAGTTTTCTGTAGGAATAGAATGGGTACTACAGAATTCTATAGACTTTTTTTTATTAATTCTTATTTTGGGAATAAATATAATTGGCCAATGATTTATTCTAAATTGATAACCTTATTTTTTCTCTCATGAATTAATAATTGCCGCATGATTTGACACCGGCACTTGCCGAACTATACAAGCCAAAGGCTACTTTCAAATACAAATTACGAATGAAAAATGAGCATTTAACAGAATTTTATTTTGTCTTTCATTTGAATATTTCCAAATTAATATTTATTTTAAGAAAATTCAGCCAACACTTACGTCTAAAATGACATCGATAAACTGGAATTCCAAATACTCCGCCAAAGCGTCAGGCCTACCGGAAGTAAACATGGCACTTTTAACTTCGCGCATGCGAGGACGAGCATAATTCGCTCTAACGGGCTCGTTGGCGTTCCAGTGTATTTAGTTCTATGGTCCACGTGACATCGTAGACAAGTTACTGTGAATCAAATTGCTAAGTATAAGGTCAGCAATGATAAACATAACACAATGAAACATTTTAGACAAAGAACGAATAATAATAACAAAAGTCAAACATATAAATGTTATACATATATGAAATGAACGAAACATACTACAGCTGTCCTTGTCAAGCCCTCCGTCCTGCATCACTGAAAAGGGGGAACCACGCCGGAAAATCTGGACGAATTTTCTCGGTCTATGCAGGGATCGTACACCCGACCTCCAGGTTATCGAGCCAGCGTCTTACCCACTTAGCCACCTTGACCCCCTTCTCTACTAGTGTGTGTGGAACAGTAAATTATTACATGTATGTGCTTGTGGTAAAATCTGTGACAAACATTATCCAATCAAATTACACTGTGGTGATTGTACAATGTACACTGTGATTATTTATATACAGTAACCATCCACCCCCTTCTGACTGACAAGGGGGAATCCGCCGGAAAATCTGGATGAACTTTCTCGGCCAATGCAGGGATCGAACACTCGACCTCCACGTCCTGCATCACTGACAAGGGGGAATCCGCTGGAAAATCTGGATGAACTTTCTCGACCAATGCAGGGATCGAACACCCGACCTCCAGGCTGGCTTAACATCCACTCGTTGCAAACTAAATCATTTCAATAATTCGTTTGCACGTAGGGGTCTTTAGCAGTGGATAGAAGCTGGGGTATCGGGAGAAAACCCACAAGGTTGGACAAGCGACCCTACTCCCTTGTCATGTTTAAGCGGGGAATCAAAACCACACCACTTGAATCAATGTCAGACCTTGTGGTTTCACGCGCACGTGTTAAACCACTAGACCACCCAATCCCCATGTATGTTGTTGCATATTGTATAGATCGGTACGGGAAATTTGTTTTATAATAGGCCTATATAATAAATTAAATTGTTGTAGCCTAAGGTGTTTTTTTTTATCAGACATTTTTGGCGGTTAAAATATCCCAGTTGGCGGAAAAAAAATGTGAACATTTTTTTTATATAAAAATTATTATCCATTTTGACGGAAAAGAATGAAATACAGTGTGAGACCTGATTGCACGTATTCAAATGCGACCTGGAAAACTGAGACTACAACAACTTCCGAGGCGAAAAGTCTCTAATAGCGTGGTGTGTTAATTTCCTAATTTCTACTTTTCGAGTTGCATTTTGGCTTGTATAGCGTCTTGGCGCCTTCTTACTGACATCAATAAATACAAAAATATGACTAAGTCGAAAGTCGACAAGACGGTATACAAGCCAAAATGCAAGTCGAAAATAAGAAATTAGGAAAAAACGAGGGGCGCTATTATCGCTGTGTGTTATTTCTTAATTTCCTATTTTCGAGTTGATTTTGGCTTGTATAGCGTGTTGTCGCCTCACATTTTGTCGTAACTTCTACTTTTCGACTTTCGTGTTTTAAAGAGGCGAAAAGTAGAAATTATGAATGGTAGTTATAGGCTTCGATATGTTCTTGCCTAATGCAAGTATTTCAGAGATATTATTTGTACTAAACCAAAAGATGCGGCTCCTAATGGTACAGTTAATGATAAAGCAATTTGAAAAATAAAACGAACGTAATTTCTAAAGCTGCTGTAATAACTAATAAGGTAAATATTACTGCTATTCAGAATCGTCAACAATAGATTTTTTACGGCTGTAATAGTTGATAGATGTGTAGAGAATTGCACGTGCGATGGCTATTTATAGTATCATAGACTCTAGCTCTGACTGTTATCATAGTGCGTAGTGTATGCGAGAAATCACTTCAAGATAACCCACATAAGCGTGTACATTCGCCGTGTCGAGACCAACTTTCTGTACGGTGCACGGGTCACCCTAGAATTTGTGGTAACTAAATTGTAATGCACGTGCAACTTACGACTTGTTTTCTTAATTTTGTCATATCAGTCGCAGGGCGGATATGGGCTAAACCATTGTCTTATAGGTGAAATCAATTAGGATGTCGGTGTGTAAGACAAATATTACCCTAATAGCCTCGGTCGATATGTGAAATAACCCTCGATGAGGGTAATATTTATCTCATAAACGTCAGGTCTTCATTAACATAATATACTCTTCCAAAAAGAAACGCAGTGAGACATTTCGTCGTCGGTATACCCTCGCTCTACCATCTCCTCGTTGCAACAGGAACCGTGACACTGTTCTCCAGTGTTGCTGTGGCCATACCTTCGGTTTCTGAACCCATAAGTTGGATTTCACGGTGTCGGCGTATTTCAAAACAGCAGCTCTAACGGGACGTCTGGGGCCTGTTTCACGAAATTTTAACTAAGTTAAAATCCAAATTTTAGTAATTTGATTGGATAATATTAGATTGATTTTAGTGCTTAGCCAATCAAAATTGAAGAATCAACTAAAATTTGGATTTTATCTTTAGTTAAAATTTCGTGAAACTGGGCCCAGGCTCGTAATCCGGTTTCACGTAGGCGTTTACGGACTGTCTCGTCTGAGATTCTACGCCATCAAAGAATTGCTGCTGCAGTAGAGGTCGCTGTTGAGAGAGAGAGAGAGAAATGGGGTTTAACGTCCACTCGACACAAACTAGGTCATTTCGGGACTAACATATGGTTTAATTTTATTTACATAATTCGCTCGCTGTTGAGAACCGTTTCCGCAAATGACGTCACTTTTGTTTGGCTTGAGCTTGGGCGGTTACGTGCTGAACTTCGCTGTCGGTACCTATCCCAAAGGCGAGAAATGGTACTCAGGGAAACATCCAGCAGCCTGGCCACATCTGTCTGGGATTCTCCTGCTTGTAACCGACCAATAGCGTTGTTGCGTTGGGCTTCGTTCACATGTGGAATCACTTGGTTCGTTGAGTTTTTACATGTGCAACTGATTTTGAAACCGAGAACCCAGGGATTTTAAAGGTATTAGATTTAGGTTTCATGCGAAAAGCTCGCTAAGTTGTTAAACTCGTGTGTCTTGGTGCAATCAATCGAAAACAAATTTCGGCAAAAAGTATATGGCCAGTCACAAATAGAGACCCTGCATTTAAAATCAATAATAAATTTCTTTTATCCTTACATAATGAAATTAAAAACAAGTAAGATTTATGGAAAAAAAACTATAATAAAATGATGAAAAATGGGCTGTGCGTTTTTTGGGGTTTTTTTTTTGAAGAGTATATTATATAATTTGTAGTAATAAATACGCATATATAATTTGGACTTTTCTCATTTAGGCTGCCTTCTGGCTAAATTCTAACCTTGTCCGATGAGAGTTTCTTCCCTTACAAATAAAGATACATTATGGGAGATTTTTATAGAGAGTTGGCCATTCTTACTATAACAGTTCAAAAGTAGATGATGAAAGAAGAATATATTGAAAAATTCAGTCAAATTACTTTATTCTGAACATAGTTATCATCGTTGTAATATTTGACTAGAAATGGTAGCGAAATGCGTCTTCACCTTCGCCGATCGTTTGATTGACAGGCGTTAACTCCACCTACATATCTCGATTATCAAGTAAAGTTTTCAATGGCATACGGAAACGCTTTACAGCGGCCTCGCTAAGTACACTCTATCATTTAGCCTCGATCTAACTGACGTATTTTCATCAAGTTGCCCCACACTTGATTTAATCAATTAGTGAAATCCTATTTAAATCCGAGCTGTAGTCGAGCCATCCGTGGGTCTGTCTACAGAGTTGATTTTGGGCTTGTTGTTTAAATAAAGATCTAATTTATAATTTCTATAACATCTGAAGCCTAAATTAAGACTTCAATAATCAGATTTAGCTCTTGCATAATGCATGTTTAACGATTTATGGGATTGGTCGATGAAAGTAGTACAATCATCAAGGGCGGATAACTTAAAAACGTGCCCTCCCCTCACCTAGATTAACCCAGAGGTTATATAGTGGGGTAGGACGGAATGAAACCAATGGGGATACCGAGGATGCTAAAACTTGTCGTTGTTTTTTTTCGTACAATGTATAGTCGTTCGGATGGGACCAAATACCTGTTTCTGGATGTTTTTTCGTTTGTTTGTGACAAGATGATCGATGCTGTTTGGGGCTTCAAATCTGAATTTAACATCCACTTTAAAAGCTATCTATATTTTTTGTTTCAGTTGTACCGGGTTGTGTAGGTGTGGATAACATGTTTACTTGGTGTCAAAAATTAACGGAGACGAATCCTATTGTTTGTAATGGAACTGTCAAGATAAAGTTCATTTCTAGCCCTTATAGTTCAAGGACACAGCATGTTTATGGGGCTATAGATGATATGCGTGATAAACCAAGAACCATGATATTCCTTGGAATAGGCATCCACGATAACTACAATTATACAAGGATTCTAAATGATTATATCCACCCAATAGTGAAGCATTATAATGCTAAAAAGTCTGTATGGCCAAAATTAATGTGGGCAGCAACTCATGCACCTGGTCTTCTGAAGAGTCCACATTATCCGTTACAACTATATAAACACTGTGCACGTTTTAATAAATTTCTAAATCCTCGTTTAGAGAAATTAGGAGTACCTGTTTTTGATACGTTTAATATGACTGGCGGTGTAGCTAGTCCCGATGGCGGCCATTACGGTGTGGCTGTGAACATGGTAAAGGCGAGAATTTTTATTCATTACATAGCCGAATTACAACGAAAAGGACAATGGTGACAATATTACAATTTACAGAATAATAAGAACTAAAACCATTTGAGTGGTTAATTTATATAGCAACGTCGAATAGAAATAAAATAAAACCAAGTACGAACAATCCAAACCATTAAATGTCCAATGCCTCGCACAGATCAAAGATGTCCCTATGGGTACCAAGGTTGCCCCAACTACTTTGGCTTTTGACTACTTTGAAGAACTGTGGTTTGCCAGAATATGAGAACAATTTGGTAACTAATTACAACCATACATAGAAACATACAGGAAGAGATTCTTAGATGACAATAAAACAAATTTAGCCTACCGACGAGCAAGAACAAGTAATAAACTGACAATTTTTCAACATTCAATATTAACATTATGCGATCCCGTAAGATTGCATCTTGCCAGCGAGACCCAGTACGTACTATCCAGTCACAAGTGAGAGGCCGTATTTCGCATTATTTATGTCTTTTAGAAAATTGATTGATTTTATTTGATTTTCCTGTATTTAGAAAAAGTTAAAGTACGCTGAATATCTTACGCCAAAAGCTAGAACTGTCCCATAACTTCTAATTGTAACATTTGTAGTATATTCCCTCCGTAGATTGATTACAATGCAGATCTTTGTGCAATACAAGTAAATATATTAACCTCTCAACAATAACAATATTTTCTCGATATAAACGATATGAAATAGGGTTTAACGTCCTAATGTTCTGCACTGACTGGGCTTATGAAGAAATGAAATAAAATGAAATGGGGTTTAACGCCCTACTGTTCTTATCGGACTGGGTTAATGAAGAGTGGCGCTAATGAAGACGGGCATACGCCATACGCCATACCTCTAAAACCAAATACCAATATAATATTAGTGTATGGGTCATTATCAAAATCGGTAGAATTTGCAAATCACAAATGACCAAATTTCAAATATGGTTAATTGTTTATATTTATTTGATAAAATACAGTTCAAAGTATCAGTTCTGAATAAATTTAGAACAATTTTACAGAATTAATCTTTTTTGTCAGCTTTTATCGGTCACCAGTTGGAAATATGAAATTTCACGTAACGATTAATAATTTTGTTAAAAATATGTGAATATTCCATAAAATCATATTTTTAAAGCATATTATTTCTAATGATTGGTCATTCTAGCATACTAAATCATGTTTTTCTCAATTTGGCTACTTTTTTATAAAAAAATGTATGTTACAGCGTTGACATAAAAGTACCTTCTTTTGAAAGAAAACTGTAAATATTCACGGGTGTACGTGAAATAAGATAGCCAAGTAAACTAGACTAAATTTAGATCAAAGCGGTGGGCCCCAGCTTTTCTTTTGTAAATGTCTTCTTTGAATGACATCACTACAATAGGAACGTCTCTCGCAGTAACACTCAAAATAATCATTGTTTGTATAAACTTGCAATATCGCTTTATTTATTCTTTCGCTTTTAGAGTTCTCATAATATTACACTTTCCCACTTATTGTACGTGAGATTATAAGCATGGGGGCTGTGTCGGATTGCGATTGAGAGATACCCTAGGTAATCCCCCCCACCCTCGCGACTAGAGGACAATGAAAGTGTAAGTGTAAAACACCCAGGCCCGAGATCCCCTAAATCAGTGATTCCCAAACTGCAGGTGTGCCGCGAGATCTTCCTAAGTGTACCGCGAAATTTTGAAAGTCACACTAAGAAAATGCGAAAAGCCACTTGATCCCAAGTGAGTATTCACTGGTGTCTACTGGTACGTTCATGGCTGTGTTTTCTTTATTTAGTTTGAGTCATTCTGTTTCTATGACTAGTCTGTGTCTATGGTTGTATGCCGTCTTTCACTTGCCATGTTTTTATTTTGAAAAATTGAAATATCATTTATATATATTTAGCCAGGTGTGCCGCTATTTTTTTTCATGTGTTCCAAGGTGTGCCGTTGCCACAAAAAGGTTGAAAACCACTGCCCTAGATCTTGAGGTCCCAGGGTTCAGTCTGCCAAGCCAAGGTAAATTTTATTACTATTTTCAAAAATAATTTTCACATCACTTCGTTCGACTGATATTTATCAAAAATAATCATAAAGGTTTCGAAAATAATTTTAAATGTCCTTTCGCATATTATCGTTGGTCAATAAATGGGCGATTCGTGTACAGACTCATAAGGTGCATTAATACTAAAATCCTTTATTATTAAAAACGCGACCTATATTCGCAGTTACAAAGCTTCAATAAGCTTACTACTGTACTTACTAGATAGTTCGTTTCGCACAACCGCCTTTCGTGTGGTGGACATAGATGGGAAAGAAAAGAAATATGAAGTTATGTGGAAGGATTATGTTTCTACGTACGCGGTAAACATTAAACATCATACATTATGCAAGAGCTAAATCTGCCAACTGCAGGTCTTTCTTTAGGCCTAAAATATTATCTAAATTATTAATTGTTTTACTTGCCTTGCATCTCACCCTTGAATATTTTTAATATTACAAAGTGGCACCCGAAACCATAGAATACACGACTCGTGTACTGATTATAAATATACTGGATATTATAGGATCCTATACTTTCACGGCAAGATAACATCAATATTGATTGAAATTGACAAATATTGAATTCCTATTCGTGTTTCTAATTTTGAATATTATTATGGAAAATATTAAGTTAGAGATTTAGTAACTTTCCCATGCTTTTGAAATGCAATGGAATGGGGTTTAACGTCCGACTTTTCTGCTCCAACTGGGCTAATGGATATAAGGCTACTATTAAAATACAACGGAAGTAGGTAAAACGTGGTATAATAGAACATAATATTGCTGATATTAAAGTACCGCGTAATGGTGTGGTACAAGCGAATATAGGCTGTTCTAACAATAATGGCTTACATAGCAGTACCACGTTTTATAGGTAAACGCACTGGTAAAAAACAATATAAGGATTACAACAATCGGACGTTAAATAAAGCTATTTCACACACACACTACAAACTCGCGGGTTGAAATGGTTAAGCTACTTCGGAAGAGTGCCATTAGGGAAAAGGCGGCATTCAACAACCAGGGGCCTGTTTCACGAAATTTTAACTAAGATAAAATCTAAATTTTAGTAATTTGATTGGATAATACTAGATTGATTTTAGTGCTTAGCCAATCAAAATTGAAGTACGGTTATCTGAGCCCCGGATTCTATTATACCAGGTTTTTTTAACTATATCAACTCATGGTACTCTCGTATCATCCAGATAATTTTACCGTGCAATCTAATGATTAGTTAGATTATTTTCTAAACTCAGATTTTTAAAAAATAAATCTTAACAAATTGCTTTGCATTTTTTCATGTAGTGGTGTTTTTTGTGGTTTTTTGGGTCGCTAACTCTATACATCTAGCCTCTAGGCCTATTATAGTTACATATACAACAATGTAACTAGAGCCGAGGTTTCACATGCTGGTACCGCCATACAATAGCGGTAATCCGGAAATTAGGAATAGGCCCAATGAATATCGATTATGAATTTATCCTTAATTTTAAATGAAGAGAATTTGTTTTTTCAAATGAAGTGTAGCCTAGTAGTAGTACTGCAGTGGTACTACTAACTGAGTCTATTGTTAACTCTAGCTTTTTCTATTTTAGGCCTATAAGATCGACAAACAGACATAATTTTTATTCAGAAAAGAGATTTGTTTTTGCGTAGCCACAGTTTTAGACATTTCCCGAATTGATTCGACAACCAAGTCATAAAGTCAGCTGGAGGTTATTCTACGGCGGCCCGGTGGTGACACAACAAATTGAAAATGGAAGAACCGACAGACTCACAGCACCTCAAACCACCAGGAAGACTCTCTCCATCGCAAATGTCAGAGACAGGTAGACGTTCACAAATTGGCAAGGCTATATGGCGGCCTTCTCGTCTGCTGTACAGAACATTGACAAATTCATCACAGAGATAGAAACTCGTTTGGATGAATTAAAGTCCCGATATTAATAAAATCTTGATAGAACTTAACGTCCACAGAATTGAATTTACTGAAAGTTTGAGTGAAACTGAATATCTGACACTTCAAGACGAGACCGTTCTTAAAGAAAACACTTCGCTGTATGATATTACTGCAGAAAGAATACTGGGGTTCCAAAGACAACTTAATGTAAAAAGATATATTTTAGCAGACATAAATTTGGATGTCGAGACTGGAACCCAAAGCACTCGTAGTTCCAGAAGTGGTAGGAGTACGACACACTCTCGGAAATCTGACAGACGACGTTGGGCTATTCTAGAATCCTCGATAGCCGAAATAAAGATTCAAACTGAAAAGGAGAAGCAAGAAGTATAGATGATCAAACTAGATGAAATTCACCGACAAATGGAGTTAGAACACATACAACATGTTAAGAATCTGGAATTGAAAGTAGAATATTTGCAGTCAAAGTAGAATATTTGCAGTCAAAGGCAAAGCTGGAATCCGTCCATGATGACAAATTCAATGAATTTTTAAGAATGACCAGAAAGTTTAATTGATCCTTTAAAACCCCGACACCCAGCATCAATTGTAAATCTTGAAGAACCTACTATTAATGTTTAGTGACGTCTCAGAGTTTTAACGATGTGACGTCAAAAAAGACAGGGTTAAAACATTAATATAATGTTTTAATGCAACGTTTGTCAGTGAAACATTAAAAAAACCCACCCAAAATAACGTTTAGTCATTGTCAAATTAAAGGAAAAAGATGTAACATGTAAATAGAACGTTTTACAAACTTTATTGGAAGGTTGTTTTTGTTCGATCAATTTAAACGTTTTACATCAGGAAAACGGAACGTAATAAATAAACAATTCAATAACGTTCAAAGAATTATAACGTTGAGGTAGATGGTTTATTTGACATTCTTTGATTAACTAATCTGAATGTTTCTAAAGTGAACAGAAAATATTAATTACTGTTTCGTAAAGTTTAATGAATCAAATTAAAACGTTACAAAAGTTAAACAATGTAACGTTCAACCAAACGGTTTTGAAACATTAATCTAAAATCTTAATGCAACTTAATATTGGAAGGTTATTTTTGTTCGTTTAATTTAACGTTTTTAGATTATGAAAACGCAACGTTTAAAAAAAACTAAGACCCAATAGAATCAATATAACGCAATGAATAAATATATTAATAACGTTCAAAGAATTATAAGTTAAAACGTTACATACTTTATTTTATAAGAAATAGTTTACTAATGTTTACGGGGGTCTGCTCAGGCTTAGGAAATAACGTTGTATCAGATGGTTCTTTTGATGTTATTGAAACAACTAATATGAACGTTAGTAAAGTAATCTTCAATGGAACAATATCAGTTAATGTTGAGTAACTTCTCAGTTTCAATCACGAAACGTCAAATAAAACGTGCTTGAAGCATTAATCTTAAGTCTAAATGTAACTCGTGTCAGTGAAGCATTAAAAAACCCATCCAAATATAGAAAGTTTTACGAACTTTTGGACGGTTATTTTTAAACGTTTATTAAATTAGGAACATGGAACGTCTTTAAAAACTAAAATCCAATATAATCAATATAACGTCACGGACAAATATATTTATAATGTCCAAAGAGCCATAGGTTAAAACGCTAAAAAAGTTACGCTAGAAGAACACAGTTTGCTAACGTTTTGTAGGTTGCCTGACTATAGGCTTGAGAAATACGTTGAATCAGACGGTTCATTTGACGTACTCAGAACAACTAATCCGAACGTTTCTAAATTAAACGCCACTAGAAGGATATTAATTAATGTTTAGTAACGTCTCACAGTATCAACGATGTAACGTCAAAAAATTAAAACAATGGGGTTTTAAACATTAATCTAAAGTTTTTATGCAATGATTGTCAATGAAACATTAAAAAAAGCATTGGAGGGTTATT